ATATATATATATATATATATATATATATATATATATATATATATATACAATATATATATTTATATATATTATGTACCTATCTATATATGTACATACAGGATGACAAGAAAATACCCGAAATTTTTTTAAAATTATGAAGCAGCTATAAATCGGTACAAAAATTAAACATGTACACTTTAAATATAACATAAAACTTTATTAGAACATTAACAAAATTAAACAAAAAATTTTAATAAATGTTCAAAATTGCTTCCTTGCTTTCAAAGTGACTTCAAAAATGTATTAAAACCAAAGGAAATAATTTTATCGTAATTTTCTTTGTTTAATTTTTGTTATTAATATTCTAAGAAAGTTTTATGTTCTGTTTAAAGTGTAAATGTTTAATTTCTATACTGATTTCTACCTGCTTCATGTATTTAAAAAATTCTGAGAATTTCTTGTCATCCTATATACATATATAGATACGTATAACATATATAATAACTCTATAAACAATAAACAGTGCACAGGGCAACACACGCCAAAATTCCAATTAAGCTATAAATCAAATACGATTTATAGCTAATATTCTGAACTTGAGCGTCTCTGCAAGCAGCATAGATGCTACGAGAAGTAGGGATGGCAGTAAGCAATATCGGCCAAAAAGTACAAACTACCAACTATAAACCTGACATAAAGAAACAACATTGACAATGTTGAAAGATATTTTGAACAGACACAAAATTATATTAATATTTAAAAATTAATTAATATCTTAGAGTATCTTTATTGCAATATTTGAATGCATAAGATCTTGCCAATCCAATTTGCTAAATTCAAATGCTTATTTTGTATCAAACTTTTCATCTTCAAGTAATCACTAAAATCAACCATTAGCAGGTGAACTGATATATCTAAAATACCTTGTACATATAAACTCACAAATTTTAAAATAAACATTTAAATTGTTATTATTCATAACAATATTTTTCATATATGATTGCTTTTTGGGCATTCTCTTTTGCAGTCTACTTTTTTGTCTCTAAATAAAAAAATCATTACTTATATGACTAAGATTCCAAAAGACTTTTTAATATTTGATGTTTCCGGTAATGAAAGAGCCCATTTTCTTAATCCTGTTAATAAAACTGAGCTAATGACTAATATAGCCCCGCCTACAGAATAACAATTTGGTATTTCATTAAAAAATAATACCTGCCAAAAGAACGCAAAGACAATATCTGTGGATCTTGCTATGGCCACTGGACCAGCTTGTTCAATTTGAAGAGCTAAGGTTAACAAAATTTGGCCTGCAAAACTAAACAGTGCGAGTGCAACAACCAAAAGTCTATCTGTACCACAATGTGGCATACATAATGCGCCAATTACCCATGATATAAGCGTAGTTTGAATCAAGGCAAATAAACCAAAGTTTGTCATTATAACAGAAAAATGAAGACCTTTTAATGCACGTAGTAAAACATATGCATTTGCACCAAATAAAGTAGCTGAAAAAGCAGCCATAGCACTCCATAAATCTGCATGCTCTGGCTTAATATGACCATCCGAGAGAGATTCTATGGTGTTACCAAAAATTAACGGAGGTCGTGTTATCAATATCACACCAATCAGTGTCAAACATACAATTACAACGTTGAACAGCCCACAGGGTTCTTTCAAAAATATCCGTGCAAATATTGCTACAAAAACAGGAACAGAAAATACAATAACTGAGGCATCAGCCAACGGCATATGTCTAAACGCGTAGAAACTAAACATAAGTCCTGTTGTACCAATAAAACTCCTTAGAATAAGTATTAATCTACGTCCCTTTGGAAAAGGATGTTCACCTTTATAAATCACAATTGGTATAGCTGGTAACAATACCCCTAAAAATCTAAAAATTGCCATTTCTGTTGGATTTACTTCTACCAAGCTCTTCACAATCACACTACATAATGAGAAGAACAGAGATGAGAGTGTCGCTAAAATTAGACCCATATAAGGACAAGATTTACATAATAGAATAGAAAACTTTTTTTTATGATTTGTTGTGTTATTCTCCACATCGGCGTCAACTAAATGTTGCAATTCCACATGCTCTGACATATCTGCAATAAAAATAACGTTTATAAAGATAAGTACACTTGCATTTGTAAATATGTGATATATATTAGAAGATAAAAACAGCATTTTACCATAGAACACAATTTTAATATAATAAAATATTCTTGTACAAATCTGTAAAAATATTACCGCAACAATAACTAAAGTTATAAAGTAGGAGATAAAACAAAGATTTTGAAACAATAAAATATCTTTGTACATAAATCTAATTCTACTAAATAATTATATTAGAGAAATAATATAATATAGAATAATATCTTTTATACTCAAGACAAAGTTTCCCAGATAGCAACGTGTCTACATTGTTGCTGGCATGTTGCCGACAACGTAGTATGTATTACTATCAGAATTGTGGCAACTGAATCCGCATTTGTCGGCAAGTTGATGCTTTCACGATATAACAATTTTGTATACCAACTTGCCAGCAACTTGTTGGCAACTTATGCTGCGATCTAAAATCGTTACCCATTTAATAACTGATTCAAAATTCGAACTGTTGCTGTCATGTTGCTGTAATAATTCATAGGATCACACAATGCTATCATATTGCTACGCAGAGTAAATTTGATGCTTCTCTTTTGTCGATAAATTGCTGGCAATACATACACCAATGTTGCCTGCGTGTTGCTTCAAATATTAAATTACTCGAAATCATTGAAGCAAATATACGGCAAGTGTCCAGCATCATAAGCAATCACAGGTTTGCGCGATTTTGCTCAGACACGCTTGACTATCTGGGTTATTATTAGTAGTACATAGGAATCCAAAGGTAATGATCTATATGAAAAATAAATAAAAATTGTAGATTAGAATGTTTATCTGAAACTTTGTCTTTAAAATGTTAAATTTAAATAAAAATTAATATTATTTTACTGATATAGTATCAAATAATAGAATTATTATACTTTGTAGTTAAAATTATAAAGTACAAAAGGTACTAAAGTTTTACGATTATCAAATATTTTTGTATAAATTTAATCTTATTAATGCAATATTAATAAAAATAATAATGCAAAATTGTAATGTTTATATAACGAATTTGAATAATTATATTTAGTTATACATTGTACTAAAAGAAGAAAAAGAGAGAGAAAGAAAAAAAATAAATCTATAAGTCTCTTGTTAAATTATCTGTTATTTGAAATAGAATAATAATATACAATAATTAGTATAAGATAGAAGAAAAAACAGAAGTTGTTCTATAATTATAAATTTATTTAGTCAATTTGAATTCTGTATTAATTAATCACATGTAGAGAACTTTGTTGGCATACTTACCTATTAATGTTTGCGTTTCATCACATACGTCATATGTAAACAATCATGAGATTATGTGACAAGTAATATAGCCACAAAAGAGAGCCTAGATAGAAAACCAAAAATAAGCAATCAGAATTTGTTTTCTAATGATCTGTGTCATTAAATACATGCCTTATATTTAATTGTTATATTTTATTTTAATCACATTATCAACTATATGCTAATGACAAAAGTTATTTCACATTTATATCTCACAAATAATATAATTTTACTTACAAACGCCTCCTTTGTATTTACTTATATTTATATTCTCTAAATTACTATCTTGTACGCTAATACAAAATAACAGTAATAATTCTTTACTAATAACAAAATATTTTACCATTTGAGAGATTTGTTCATTTTAATTGTATTTTCTTTCATTTGCTGTCCTTAAATAAGATAAATCTATATCCACTTTGAATGGAAAAAGAGAGGAGAAGAAACAACAAAGTGTAAAATATATGCAATTAAAACGAGCAGATCTAATTTTCAGTAAAGCTCGTATCAAACTATATATTTGTGTCTGTTTTCTATTGCTGCACTGGCTACACTAGTTCGAGATGTGATACGTGATACACAAGATACACTGCCCATGGTGTAAGACTGAGTTTCCACTGAGCGCGTCATGCGTCGCGTCATCACAAGTTAACCAATCAACACATCCCATTTTATTACATTACTTGTGACGGGATAAAAATGTGATGTTTTGATTGGTTAACTTAGATGACGCGACGCGTAACGCGCTCAGTGTAAACTCAGCCTAAAGCTTAAATATTTGGCTCACTTCCGGCGCAAAATGCTGCTTGAAATTAGGACTTTAGTATTGGCTGTATAGGACCAATTTCATGAGCAGTAAAATTTTGCGCCGGAAATGAGCCATTTCTAAGAAATTACTAAACTGCTGGGGGTCAATCATGTATTAAAGTAGAACGTGAAAAGTGAAAAGTTTTATATGACTATCTTTTTCTATTTAACATCAATAAAAAGAGAGATTTTTCATTTTTTACGTTTCCACCCTAGAGGAAAAGATTCATGATTGACCCCCTGCTCGCTGCTGCTGCATTTCACTGTCCATGAAAACCTATAAGGGTATCGCGTAACCAATAAATTACGACGTTTGACATTTCTGTTGGAACATTCTAAAAGAATGAACGATATGCCGTTTCAAAGAACGAGCTCTGACTGTTTTTGTCGGTAATTGTCCCCTGTCCAGGATTCCCTTAAAGTATTCACTATCGCCAGATTCTGTATCAGCTTCTGAAACAATTAGTAAATTCCGGTTCTTTAAAAGTTTCAACACAGATTCGTCTAAATATCCGGATTTTCGTGGTGGATGATGTTTATATGATGAAATTACTGGATCCGATGAAATATAAGTATTATAGTATATGTTAATCTTCTATAGTTTTATCTCGAGATATTTTTTGAATATGTCCTTTTCTATATCGTCTGCAATCTTTATTACGTGCTTCACTTTTCTATTTGTTTTGTCTTTTTTTTTATTTTTGATATTTAATTGAATATGTTGCTGGTCTTATTAGTTGCTGACGAAAGTTAGTTGTCGTTCGTCACATCAAATGTAATCATATAATTAAATATAACAATTCTAAATACAAATGATATCACTTCTCCTCTATGTCCAACAGTAGCTTATAATAAAAATATTGGCTTTTTTAATAATATAAATATATACCTATCAATAATATGAATAATATAAACTTGTGATATTTTCTTCTAAAACAATTTCGAGATATTTATAAAAAACCATAGATAGATGTCAATATCAAGAGACACGGTAGTCTCGCCAAGTACACGCGCAGCGCGAGACCGTCTCGTGTATCTTTACGCGAACGGATGAGTTGCGAGTTTTAAAAAACGCTGTATCTATAAAACGGGCACTTGGCGGCAGCTAGTTTTAAAGGATAAAACTCAGAAATGTCTAAGGAATAATATGCTTATAAAATGATGGCGGCATTCCGCAGCGTTCTTTTTGTAGACCTTTCTAAGTTTCATACTTTGAAAATTTTATAATTAAAAATCGGCAACGTTTGACTTAAAAAATACCGCTATTATTAAAAAACTATTATAAGATTTGCTAATGAAATTTAAAAAAATATATTTGTTTCTCTATATTTATCTAATTTGAAGTTTTAATATTCTTTATAAGCAGAATACTTCTTTATTTCTCAAGCGCTGCTAAAGTAATAATTTAACGTTTTGCGAGATGACATTTATACGACCTTTTCAAATGATTGTTATAACACAACTACAAGTGTAAATGGTAAATATTTTGTAGAAAATGCACTATCAGATATCTTTCTTAAAAATTACATTTTTTAAGAAGTATTAATCTCGACAATCGATTTTTGTCCAGCTAGATTGCCGTTTTGGCTCACTGTGCGTCGGTAAGTTTGGACCTATACACTGCCAGTATTGAAGCCCGAACTTCGAGCAGCAGAAATTTGCGCCAGAAATGAACCAAACTAAGTTAGTAATTTCTAGGAAATTACTAAACTGCTGCTCACTGCTGTTGCATTTCACTGCCCATGAAAACCTACCTTTACTCATTCACACTCTTTTTCGCTTTCTCCCCCTCCTTTTCTTTTAACTCTCCCTCCAAAGCCTGCGTATACGTTTATTTTAACTGTAGAAAACGCAAAGAGGTATAGACAAAATGAGCTAAATTTACACAGTGAAAAGTGAACGTGCAGCGATAACACAAAATGATACATATAAGAAAGACCATTGAATATAAAAAGTGATTTCGAAAAGAATGATTCCTGAAACTGACGAATGATTATAGCGTAGTTCTAAAAGGAATATACGTTATCTGTCTTCAACGAGATAATATGTTCCCACACGCGTACCAGTGAATCATAGATTGTATAATGAATACGTGACTCGCGTTATCACACCGTTTCATGTATACACGATTAACGCATTAAACAGGACAATCTTGACGACAACAGACCTCAATTATATCCCAGTGCACTTTGCACAGAGCGCGAACGTGATAATTTCAACATTGGTTATATTGTGAAGAACATATACCGTGAAAAAACAATGAGTTGGCTACGAAGCAGTCCGTTGCGAACAAGCTTCAGCAAGCAGCGATCCAGAGATTCGCCACCAAAAGATGCCGATCCATCTGCATGTTACGACAGCTTCTGCAAACATTCACAACAGATTTACGAAATTATTCTGCATTCTTTAGTAAGAGCAACTATTTTTAAAACCCTCACCGTTTCGTTTATTATAAAATTTACATCCCTCCGCAGACAATGTGTATCTAAAAGATATCTTTCTTACCCTGTAAGAGAGAGCGAACTGCCCGCAATATGACAATATGATTGGTAGCAGATTTGCACAGATATTGCAACAGATCCGGTATCATCACATCTATATTAAACTTGTATTTTGCTAGCACAGCCTGCCGATATATAATCTTACAGTAGATTGTCGACAGAAACTGAATAGAATCTTGTAAACTTTTAAATGTAATACATTTAAATGGTTATGGAAACAGTAGCTTATTCTGCTCTCAGTTTCTGCAGCCAATCTGCCATTGTATTCTGTTAGCAGATTCTGTTATATTTCTATTAACATTTTACAAAATTTATAGTAGACACTTTCACAATTTGTTCTCGACAAATTTGGCTATCTGCACCCTAATAGCCAAATGCTAGCAGAATATCGGCAATATGCAAGCAGATCCAAACATGAATATGCAGTAGATTCCTGTCCACTGTGTCCTCATTAAGCTTATTTTATGCTGCCACAATATGTAATCGTAGAAACGCAGCAGAAACCATGCACAATATGCCGTCATGATCTGCTATCATCTCATGATGTCAGATTCTGCTAGATTTGTTTCATTTCTACGCATATATCTGACACGACAGATGCCAGTATATAGCATGCGGCACATAATTTGTAAAGCCTGCTCTTAGCAGACATGGCTATCTGGATGGGTTCAACTTTCGTTTTCAAGATTTTCTGCAAAGACATCTGAAGGTTATCTTTTATAAGATACTTTTTGGAGCACATGTATAGCTATCTGCATTATCGACTTATTATTGATTAAAATATGACATGGCTCATCTGTACACAACATAACCTATAAAAATGTTTTGTGTCAGTTAATATAAATATAATAGGTGCAAACAGATTGCATATAAAACTGATTTAAAGAAAATTAAAACATTAAAGATATCACAATTAAAGTACTTTAAATCGACCGTAACTGGCAATATATAACGTCTTTTTCGATGTGACCATTGAAAAAACCATGAGCCAACTCGCTTTGTCGGATTCACACAGCACTTTTTTGGATCAATCGTCAAGATATTATTAATTTCGACCAACACTTTGGTCGGATGCTTTTTCGCAATGAAATAAAAATTATTTAATTCAGAAATTACATCATCCGATCAAAAGCGTTGGTCGAAATTAATAATGTCTTGACGATTGATCCGAAAAAGTGCTGTGTGAATCCGACAAAGCGAGTTGGCTCATGGTTTTTTCAATGGTCATATCGAAAAAGACGTTATATATATTGCCTGTTACAGTCAATTTAAAGTACTTTAATTGTTATTCTATTCACTGGCAAAAGAAATTTAATATTCTGTTATTAAAGATATCAATTTGTTGCAAACACAGGAAAAATAATATAGCACAAAATTAAGAGAAATTATTTAAATATAAAGATGTACGAGATACCTTTATGAGTTGAAAGCACTTTTAATTTTAAAAAATTACTGTTAGTTAAAATCTGACAATTTGATGTTTTGTATTATTTTTTGTCGCAACAAAATAATTAAGAAACTTGTAGGTACTTGAGTAGGTACTGTATTAGTTCTTACAGTACAAAATTACCTTCTTCAAAAAGGTAAAAAAAGATGCCAAGTACATGCACAGTGTATGTTGTTACCTCGAAAAAAGCCAAGTGGTATAGTGTCATTAATTTTAAATAAATAAAATCTAAATGGTACATAATATCTTTGTACCTCGAAAAAAACCAAGTGGGTATTATCTTTATTCCAAAAAAATTAAAACCCAAGTGAGGTTTTAATTGTGTACATATATCTTTGTACGTATTCCCATTCAAGAGTTTTTCTATTTTAACCCAAGTAGTAGTAGCTTTAATTTTTCTTAACAAAAAATTATCATATTACAAAATTGCGTTACGTTACTCGAGAAAAAATGGGTATAATATGGTTACATGTAAAAATACATTATTAGATATGAAAAGACCTAATAACATATATAAGGAAACTCCGGTATTTACGCCGCGCGGGGATTTATGCCGCAGAAGTCAGAAAAAATAGAACGAA